TGTGAGTGCCCGGTGCCCTGCCCCACACAGGGGCGAGGAGGACCAGGTAGAGGCGTGTGTGAGTGCCCGGTGCCCTGCCCCACACAGGGACAAGGAGGACCAGGTAGGGGTGCGGGTGCCCAGTGCCCTGCCCCACACAGGAGGAGTGGGTAGGGCTGAGCGAGTGCCCTGCCACACGCAGGAGGACCAGGTAGGGGTGTGTGCAGGTGCCTGGTGCCCTGCCCACATGCAGGAACCTCAGGCCAGCCTTCCCTACCCTATGCCCTGCCCACATGGGTCCTATGGCCCTGGGCCAGCTGTGCCCACTGTACCTGTGCCCTCCCTTAGGGACACCCTCCCAGCCCCTTCTCCTCCCACTAGCCCAGGTCCACAGGGCTGCCCTGAGCTTGGGGCAGGAGGGGAGGGAGTCAGGCCAGCTGGGGACACAGAGCCCCCTCCCTGACACCCCACATTCTGGGGACCACTGGGAGACCAGAGACAGCAGCTGCCTCACTGGAATCTGGGTCGGCCGTGGCCGTGGGGCACCGGGACAAGTCCCTCACCCTGAGGCTGAGCCTGCCTGCCTGTCCGAGGGAGCAGGCATAGGGGGCTCATGGGGAACATGCACAGAGGGCCCGCAGCTCCTCACCCCTGCACGGCGAAGGGGTCATGGGGAGCCCCAGGCCACGGAGGCTGTGGGTGGGCCCCTGGCCAGTCTGCTGGAGCACAGGCATGCTGGGAATACGACGTGGGACGTCATGGACCGCAGAGGACAGCAGGACAGCCTGAAGGGCAGCCTGGAGGCAGGGCAGGGCAGGGCTGTGCTCTGGGCCCTCCGCAGCCCTGCCTGGACGGCCCTGACCACTCACCCCTCCGCAGGACTACGACCTGAGCCAGCTGCAGCAGCCGGAGGCCATGGAGCACGGGCTGAGCAAGGGCCCCGGGGTACGGCGCGTGGACGAGCGGCCTGTGGGCGCTGAGCCCCAGTACCCGGTCAGGCCCGTGGTGCCCCACCCAGGAGACATCGGCGACTTCATCAACGAGGTGGGTGCCCAGGGCAGGACGGCACAGGGCGCAGGGCGTGTCCCCTCCCGTTAGCATCTGGGCGGGCGGCACAGTGGAAGGAGGCGGGCCAGCCCTGGCTTCACGACGAGGCCCTGGCCGAGCCTGTGCCCTACGCACCCGACTCCTTCAGGGCGGAGACGGCTCCCGGAGCAGGGCAAGGACGGGCACACAGGGCTGTGTGGACAGCAGCCCCGGCACGGGTCTGGGCGTGGCCTGAGGCGATGCTGGGGTGAGGTGGTGGAGGAGTTGGCGGTGTGACCTCAGACCACGAGGCTCGAGTCCTGGAGTCTGCCCGCCACCCCAGGAACACCCGGCACGCCTGACCTGTCCCAGCAGCCCGTGTAGCAGGACACAGCAGGCAGGAACCCTCCGGGGGGTTCTTCTGGAGCCCACCTGACTGCGAACCCGACTTGACGTCGGGGTGTGGAGATGGTGACAGTTTGGGCACCCCCTACACAGAGGTCCGACTCCTCCAACTTAGCGGGGAGACACTCGTCCTGCACTTCAGAGCTCGAGCCCGTCTTCACTCCCACACGCTTGACGAGCAGAGAAGCGGACCGGGAGGTCGTGCCACAGCCCCTCCCTGGCGCTGGCCTCGCCGGTGGTCTCTACAGAGACCCCACGTGCCCCTCTCCAGTGGCTCCCCACTGGCCTCAGCCCAGCCGTGCTCAGGGGTCGGCAATGTTTACCCCCGTCTGCCGGAGTCTGACGACAGCCAGGGAGTCAGCAGGGACACCAGACGACCTCCCAGGGCCCCAGCGGGTCACGCTGCAGACCACAGGTGGGATTCCTGTGAGCGCCCGGAGGCCGCCACTGCTCACAAAGCACTTCCTGCTGGGACGTGAGCCCACGCGCAAGCCCAGAACACGTCCTCCTGACCAGAACCAAGAGCCACTGTCACATCTCCAGGGAGGACATTCCAACGCACCTTCGCCGCCGTCTGACTAAGACCAGAGGCCCTCCCGGGGCAGGTCGGCGCGAGAGGAGCTCGTTGAAACCCACGCGGAGAACCGAGAAGACTGGCTCTGAGCAAACTAACCCTGCAGCCTGCAGAGGGGCGGAGGTGGGGAGCGGGCAGGCTGGCCGGTCCCTCCAGCCTACTTGCACCCAAAGGGCTGCATCCGGGGAGCCTGACCCTCCCGTCTGTCTGGGAAGACGGTGATGCTGCAGCCTCGCCATGAGACCCTCGCCCGCTCTCCCCCACCCAGTCCCAGCAGCTAGCGCCTCCCTCCTGCCCCGTGCAGGGCTCGAGCCCACCGGGGGTTACGGTGCAGAAGGAGCAGCTGCTCTGCCTGGGTGGGTGACAGGGACAGTCCTCGGAGGGGAGAGCAACATGCTCCAGAGGGCCAGACTGGCCGCCATGCAGAGGAGGGAGTCAGGACCACGGTGAGGCGGGGCCGGGCCAACAGTGGCACTGCCTGTGAGCTGGCTGAGCCTGGCGGGTGGGTGCACAGCCCCCTGCATGGCAGGCAGGCCAGAGCTGGTGTCAGACTTCAGGCTAGGGCTCATCTGCTCTAGTCCCACTGTCCTCTAAGCGGCTTAGAGACCACGTGCGGCTAGGCAGGCAGATGGGGAGAGAGCCATCAGGCCAAGGGCCACCGTGGGCACCCGGGCTCTGCCTGCTGGGGCCTGTGGGAGCCCATGTAGAGCATGCACCCCAGAGTTGTCTGCCTGTGGGACAAAGGGCCAGGGCGCCCGTCCACCACTCCACAGCCACGGGGCACAGGGCTCGGTGGCACCCTCCACCGGCCTTCAGGGTCCCCGGTGCACGGGTGAGGCCCCAGCCACACCTGGTCCGTCTCCAGGCATCTAACTTGACCGTGTCCGGCCACCCTGGGTCCACGTCCCTCGAGGCAGTGACCAGCTGGAGTGAGAACCGTCTATCCCAGGGGGCCTAACCGTCTAACCCTCGTGCCTCAGTTGTTCCTGGTGCTGCCGTGGCAGAGCCCGCTCCCGCTGGTGCTCTCCCAGCTACACCTCTGTAGACCCCTTCCTCACTTGTCCTGAAAGACGGGCACCTGTCACCTGTCGGCACCCGCTGCTGCAAGGTCCCCCCAGTCCTG